TTTCACTGATCCTCTGACCACACACAAAAAAGATATTCACAAGAAGTTTTCATACTTCTATATTAATAAAGTCTTAATACTTTCTTTTAACCAACTTGAAAAAACTTCAAGAGTCATCACTATTTCTCTTTCTTCTTGTTAATACTCCTCTTTAAGCAAAAACTTGACCACTAGTAACCTGAAAGTCAAGAAACACCTTTCTTACCAAGGACAAAAAAGGTCTGAAAAGAAGAAAAACCAATGTGCCGTCATCTCACACTGTAGAGAAACAACACAAAAGTTCTGTGATAATGAGAGACAACTTTCCCACTCTCTTGTCATCTGTTTGGCTTCTCATAGTACTCGTTCAGGGTTTTTTCTGGGGAATTTTGCCTATCTCAGTTTGACCCTGAATTTTAAGTAGCACAAAGTTTTTCACACCGTGATTGGACAGATAGAGATCACATTTGTAAAATAAGTAAACAAGCTCCCATTGGTCACATCACGTGTCTTAATGCATTTCCTCAGCTCCATAAGAATCTGGGATCCACCATAAGTCATATCTGGAGTGCGGGTGAATATAGGACAAGCAAAACTCCTAAATCAATGGTATCTTGGAAAGAGAACTGTTGGAATAGGATTCACCAGATAGCCAGTAAAGACCTCTCCCTTCTTTTCCTCTCCAACAAACAAATCAACACCTGGGACAGTATCTTTTCGAAGAGTTTGGATACTCCCATTCTTTCACTATATACTGACACATCTTTTGAACACAACTATCTCTTTTAAAAATTTTCTTTGGAACGACATGTCTCACCTGAGCACATTCGTCAGAGGGAATCTAGGAAGATCGACAAATCTTCTTTCCCGATATGCGAATTAGATTGATCTAAGTTATTCTCCCCGACAACAAGCCATCCCGTGGGTTGAAGCGGCTAGAATTTTACAACATGGAGATACTGAAAGCAGCCAAGGAACAGGCAATACGTCCTTGACCGATAAAGCCTTCGAAGAGTAACCAACTTATAGAATCAAAGTGATAGTAGTAACATAAAATTTTTAACTACTCACAGACAATTCTAGGAGTGTTTTATTAGTAATTATTTCTTGTATATGCATTTATATGCCACATCTTGAAACTTTAATAAAACAAGGCTGAGTCGTTGTTTCAATAAAAAAAAAAAATAATAGTCTCAAACTTTTAATAAAGTATACATACTTGGCCTGACCTAGGATTATAATAAAAAAATAATATTATTATTATTAATAGTTTTATTATATTTAATAAAAGTTTGTTATAATTTAATAAATTTAACTTTAAGAGAGTATTCTATATTATAATAATTTTTTTCTTTTTTTTGTACTAAAGATACAATTGCTATATATTTCAAGTGTATATTATCTATATAAAGTAAAATTATATTGTATATATTATTTATAATTTGTTTATTTTCGAAAAAACTATAATATGTTTATTTTTATTCTTTTTTTTTTGCTATAAATAGATATCAATTTTATTAGAGAGTTTAAATTTTATGAAAAAATTAATTTTCTAATTAATTATTTTGTTTAAAATTATATTTGCCTTGATTTTAATCTTGATTCTTTTCTTTTCAGATTATATATTGATCTTTATTTTGTTTTTTTTATAAAGAATTACCATTTTTCTTCTTAGATTTGATTAGTTAAAAGATATTATTTTAAACTTCTCTTTTATTTCTATCTTCATATTAAAGTAATCAATATATAATTGTTATTTAAATATTTCTTGTTTTTTTATTAAGATTTTTTTGAAATATTTAATATTAGATATAAATCTTTTGTTTATTAGGTTTACTAAAAATTTTTCTATATTTATTTATTACATAAAATATTGTTGACTATTGTTTTTATATATTTAGTTTTACTAAAATCTTGAAAAGTTAATTGTTAAGATTGTTTACTTATTTTCTAAAGTTGTTTTCTTTTTTCTTGTTTTTATTTTTTTCTTTTCAAATATTTATATTTAATTTTTTATATAGATTTTTTATATTATCTCTTATTAAAATATTTTTATTGTAATTGAAAACTCTATATTATATTAATTCCTAGATTTTCTAAGAGAACTTATCTCTTTCATTTATTTTCTTTCTTTTTTTTCAAAATTATCAAAAAAAAAATTTTTATAAAAAAGTTTTTTTTTTTTTTTTAATATAAGCAATAGTAATTTACTAAAATAAAATAAGTTTGTAAAATAATTTTACAAATTTTGATTACGATTACATAATAAATGACATGTGAAATCTCTGCCGACATAATTACTCACGTGATATAAACTTCGGTCTTTCCGTTTTACTGTATCATTCTCACCATGTCTAGCCTACTGAGAGGTCTTCCTAAATTATGTGAAGTCCATTTTTCCCGCTCTACTCGCATTAATATTTTGAAAAGTTCATTTAATTCCGGAAAATTATTGGTTCCAAAATCAGTCTCTTACAATGGCCTTAGCACAACGGCGCGTTGTAATGATGTACTCGAGAGAAAAAAACATGATCCCTATGCCGTTTCAATTAATAGGCCCGGAATGACACCTATAGTTCCAGATAGTGATACGCTTCTAAAAGGACTTTCTGGTAAAATGATAATATTTTACTTGTTCTTTGCAAACACGAATATACTTATATTCGTTTACAATTACTTGTAGAGTCCATCGCAGGACACGAAGAAGAAAAAATTGGTAAAGCGAAAAAACAAAGTTTAAGGCACCATATGATCCGTTAGTTATAAAGATCTAATCTGTATTTGTGTGTAGAGTCTGTTGATCCAGAAGAATATTCAAAACAAGGTTTTACAATAAACTTTGGTCCTCAACATCCCGCTGCACATGGTGTGCTTAGAATGATTTTAGAATTAAAGGGAGAAGAGATTGTTCGGGCTGATCCACATATAGGGTTACTACATCGTGGTACTGAAAAATTAATTGAGTATAAAACATATTTGCAAGCTTTGCCTTATTTTGATCGTCTGGATTATGTGTCTATGATGACCAATGAACAATGTTACTCATTGGCTGTGGAAAAGTTGTTAAATATCGAGGTCCCTGAACGTGCAAAGTACATTCGGACTATGTTTGCAGAGATTACAAGAATCTTGAATCATATAATGGCGCTCATGTCACATGCCCTCGGTATTTTTACATGTCTTCAATTCCTATTAAATGTTGATCTTAGAATCTCAAATAATTCTCAATACTCTATTTCAGACATTGGAGCTTTAACGCCTTTCTTGTGGATGTTTGAAGAACGTGAAAAGGTATGTTGCAGTATTGACTTTTTTGGAATTAATTATTGATTATTAAAAATATCGGACTTCATAGTTGATGGAATACTACGAACGTGTTTCTGGAGCTCGTATGCATTCCTCCTATGTACGCCCTGGTGGTGTTGCGCAAGATATGCCTTTTGGTTTAATGGAAGATATATACCAGTGGTCTACTCAATTTTCTTCACGTGTCGACGAAACCGAGGAGTTGTTAACTGGCAATCGTATTTGGATAAATCGTACAAAAGACATTGGTATAGTCACAATTCAAGACGCTTTGGACTATAGCTTTTCGGGAGTGATGCTACGCGGATCTGGATTTAAATGGGATTTACGCAAAGTTCAACCATATGATGCATATGACAAAGTTGAATTTGATGTTCCAGTTGGCACTACGGGAGATTGCTATGATAGATATCTTTGTCGTGTTGAAGAGATGAGACAAAGTTTGAGGATTATTCATCAATGTTTAAACCAAATGCCTCCTGGGCCAATCAAAATTGATGATTGGAAAATATCACCTCCAAGTAGATCCTCCATGAAGGAAAACATGGAGGCATTGATTCATCATTTCAAATTATATTCGGAAGGTTATTCTGTCCCTCCTGGCGAAACTTATACTGCAATTGAAGCTCCAAAGGGAGAATTCGGCGTTTACCTGGTTTCAGATGGTAGGTTAATTAAGTTCATCGGTGAAGACTAAATAATATACTAAAAAATGATTTTATTTTTTACAAGGAACAAACCGTCCGTATAGATGTAAAATCCGTGCTCCAGGATTTGCTCATCTTGCGGGTTCGGACTTTATGGCCCGTGGACATTACATTCCTGATATGGTTACAGGTATTTTTTTAAAAAAAAATTTTTCATATTTTTTTTTTTACATGATTATTGTGAAATAAATTGATTTTTTTTTTTTTATTCTAGTGATAGGTACTATGGATATTGTATTTGGCGAAATAGACAGATAAAATTGCATGAATATAAATATTAAATTATAAAATTTAAATGTTATGAAAAATTATTTTATTTTATTTTTTTTTTGAAATTCAAGAATGTGTAGATTATTTAATAATTTGTTACTAATTAAAAGAAATCTAATATTATAATTTGCGTATTTAGTATATACAGTTGCTTCCAAAATTTGAGTCCATTTACTATATTTAACAATAATAAAATTTTGGAAAGTATTAATATAAGAAATAGAATAAGTATCAAAATATAATATACAGTATATAAGTTTTATAATATTTGACTGTATAATTAATGATTTAAAAATTGTTAAAGTTAAAATTTCTAATAAAAACATAATAAGTGAACTCAAACTTTTGGAAGCAATCATATAAAAGAAATTAGTAAATATTTTTTAAAATATTTATTATTAAAAAATATATATATATATTAATTTAGTTTTTTTTTTTTTTTTTTTTACCCTCTGTCAGGCTAATTATGTGTGCTTTATTAAACATTAGTATACTATACATATA